TCATGTCACTCACACTGGACTGATCTGATCACAGTCTATCGTACTTCCCTGGGCATGAACACGTAAAATCAGGAAAAGTAAGGGATGGGCTTATACTCAAGGACCACCTCAGATTTTGATTTGGGGCTAAACATTGTAATCATCTTGCCACCCACGAAAAAATATCCAAATTACATCTTTCGTCCACAACGCCGAATTGATTGATTGATTTCCACGACACTTTTACAATGAAGAAACAAACATCATGGTCATACAAAAACACACATTTTATTACAATACGGTTTACAAACCATCTGAATTTACGGTGTAATAATGGGTAGGGTCCGTGGGGAAACAGTCGAAGACAAGATCTTTATCATTATCTTCGTTTTGGGATGTTTTCGATCATGAGCAAACTCTCTACGCAAAGCAGTTTTCACCATTAAGTTTTTCACGATTTGACCTGAAATAGTTTCCTTTGACCTAACAGGTCATGTTTTTCATTAACCAACCAAAATGCTGTGTCGTAATGACGAAAGTTTCCGAGTGTTGACGATGATTTTTTTAACGCAATGCGGAAGTGAATTACCGCAATATTAAAATACGTTCTGTAGCACTGATATCGACGAAAAAAAACGTCGATTTTGTTACTAAAAACTGGCGATTCGCAATTTTGTTATTGAAATCAGTTGACCTAGGGAGTCTCCAGGGACATTATGCACGTTGGCGGCGCTGGTTTTCTGCATACTGGACATTATGCATTAGAACAGTGGAAACGAATTTAAATGACAATGCACCAGATAATTCTAATATGATTCAACCATGGTCGTAAAAGACAGACTTTTACCTCCATGATTCAACCATAAATGAATTCTGTAGCGTAACACCTGCGTAACCATCAAGATATTGTGAATACATTCAGCGCACTTTTCATAAATATTTCAAGTAAATTCCGTGATCCTAATTCAAGTTCTATCCCTGGCCTTGATATTCTTAAGCAATGAATTCAAGATCGCGCATCATCGACTAACCTAGTCCACAGTCCCTCTAGAGGGACTATGCCTAGTCTTTAATATTCCAAAAGCAGCATAATATTTTGTTTATGGTCAACTTTCGTCCTTATAGCTACAATGAAAGCCACTTCTCTCTTACTAATATACTTGGCTACCCCTGGGGTCGGCAGGTCTATTCTTCCTACTCTTTCAAAAATATTAGAACGTCTTGTCTACGAGTGATGCGGTGTATCCTGCGGCCGTACTTTCACGAGCGAAGCCACGAGGAGGGTGCGGGGTTCTGTTATCATTGCATATGTTACATAATTGATTATTTCATATTAGAGAAAAAGTGTGCAACAAACCGTGATGGAATTTAGGTCGGGGGACCAAATTTACCATTAATATGTTTGATTGAGGATAGTGTTACGTCCTAGCAACGCGAGTCAGTGTAGAACGCGTGTCACTGTCTGTGTGAAAATAAAATAATCAGACGTCTATTAAATCGGTGTCACTGTCCGAATAAATAACTCGTGGACGTTTAGTTGGGGCCAAGATAGAACCAGAGTATGAACTGGACGACTATGATACACAGTTTATGAACTTAAAAGTTAAAAGTTCCTCCACAGATCTGTGCATTGGCAAACATACTGCAAACAAACATATTGGCCGTACAACTGCGGTATTCCACTGACGGGATGACTTTCGTCGACAGCGGTCGTCGCTGAGCTGCACGCTACAACTGCTCGTCGTGAATTGAATGAGTCTTGTTTATCGCTTAAAATGTTGCTCATTTGGCCAACAATGTGGCTGAACGATTTGAACCGGATACAAATAGCAGACGAAAAGAAAAATAGTTCGGTTGCCGATGGAAATATCATTTTAATCAAAATAAGTGACTGCCTAAAAGTACCATTACTGTGGTTCAAATTTCATTTCAGTTGGCAAGTATATTCATGTACCCCAAGAGAAAAATATCGTACTTCTAAATATTGTTTATTTCTGCTTTGTTTCGAGAAAACCGTACTACTGAAAGGACTACTTTGTTAGATCTCAGACCTCATTTGCATATGGGCTGTGGAAATACCGATTTTGATTCCAGGGACGAATCAAAATAAACTGCAGTACAAATGCAATAATTAAAAATATGAATGACAATGACGAATTTCTAATCTGTTCAAATAAATGTGCGGTTCATACATGGACTGACTATACCACTCTACATTAGTCTTGGCACATACACTGCAGGTCCGGTTGGGCTGAGAAAAAAAATATCTGTTTCTCGTTTCCACGCGCATCGTTTCTATGCGCCTCGAACGTTTTTTTTTTCTTTCTAAATCATTCCAAAATGCGCTTGTACTCGCACATTTCCCCCATTTTAGCTCACTATTCAAAAAAAATCGCCTCGCCGTATCATTTTAACATTTCCATGAAACGAGAAACAGAGAATTTTTTTTGGCCTTATAAGTAACTCCCTTATTTTTTGGTGGGTCTTCTCTAAACATATAGTTGTATATAACTCAGATTACCATTTATGAATAAATTAATATAGCCCGAGGGTCATTTACAAGATACTGACCAACATAAGTTTGGCTGTTTGGCGGGCGAGAATATTTGAACCCGGCTTGGCCGACTTTTTCAATAGTTTAGATAGAAACTAAAGCCCTAAGTTCAGAAATGCCTGACACTGTGCGGACTACTGACCTACATATGCACGCACCAAAGCTTCGATTGCTACTAATATGCATATGAAAAATCGCTTTGCCTGTTACTAATACGCATATGAAAAAATAATAATATTCAGTATACTCGTTTGTACTATATAAGAACATATCCAGTGTCAGTCGCATCTTGTTTTGATAATCTCTAGTAAGCAAAAAATGCAATGTAATATTTTGTTTCCAAGAAATAATTCTGTTGAAACTATATATCCTTACCCGGTTAATTATTATGAACACGTATGTGTATACGGTGTGTACATGGAAGTTATTTTTCGCCTCTTGCCCAGACACTAGAGTGTAATAATAATTTGTGATCTATTCATGAAGTCATGGAATTTTTTGTTTGGAATTTATACACATTATCGCCCGAAGCAAATGGGTGTAAATGCAAAACTAAACTCAGAACTCTCATTTTAAGAGAAACATTGCTGAAAACTCAGTAAACAACGCAATGAGCACGTAAATAAACGTCGATTTACTAATAGCCTCTCCAAGCTACAGTTATAATTAAAACAAAATTAAACCACCGCAATTTTATTTCAAATACAATTTAGAATAGACACAACTATAAATTAAGGCCGCATTAAGGTTTGCTGTATTAATCTCAAATATTTTTTCCTGTGCATTGTTTCTACTTCTACCTTAGTTTTCAATGGTCAACGCGTTAGGCTACAATTTTCTAGATGTGGTGACTTAGTCCATGGAAAGTAACAATTTACAAACAAGAAATTGACGATCAATAAACATTATAGGGTTTATCGACCGGGGTCGCATAGCTTGATCCTCCTGTATATAATCAATCATCAACGCGATGTACCAACCGACAGTATTGCAAATTTCATGATCTCCTCCATATTTTATTTTTTCAATCTGCATTCCACCCTTAAGAGACCGAGGAATAAATTAAAAATTGTGATGATATTCACTTTATTTGTCCAGAGTCATGTTGTTATCACACAAAGCGGGTAAATACACACAGTAATACGTGTCCTCCATTATTGAAAAAAACGAGGATTTTTCGCCTCTGTGCGTGACCTAGCAGCGGTACAAAGAGCGGTGTTGACGGTGTTGGCAGCAAACGCCGCAAACCGAAATATGAATGCTCCTTGAAGTACCGGAAATAAATGATTGTAACTGAACGAAGCTTACCTTAATTCAATCAAACAAGGCGATAAGGCGTGATGCAGACTCGGTGCTTCATAACCAGTACAGGAAATGCGTACTTTGTATTCATTTCCTGTTATACTGACATTAAATATGATAAATACAGCGACATTATGCACGTTGGTGGCGCTGGTTTTGTGCGTTATGAATTAGAACCGCGGAAACGAATTGTAATGACAATGCACCACATAATTCTAATATGATTCAACCATGGAGGTAAACTTCATGATTCAACCAAGCAGCATAAATGAATTCTGTAGCATGTTAAATATTCTGGCTATTAAAATACATTATTATCACCGTAGTCAGCTCAGATTTCTACGAAGAATACG